TCCCCAGGCCAACTCCAGTTCTTTCTCGAATGATGCAGAATCATCTGGAGAGTCTGTCCCCTCCCCTCTCTACAGTCACGGTTGTCATTCTGTGGCCCCTGGCTTATCCAGACGCTGTAAGGGCAGCACAGACTTCTGCTCCACAGGGTTTGTGGGCTGAATCCTCAGAAGCAGGTTGCCAGGCTTTTCTTCTGAGGCACCACAGAGTGAACCAGAACACTTAACTTTCCGGGTAGCATCCAGGCATGCTCACTGTTTGCACCATCCAGGGCCTCACAGTCCAAGGAGCTGGTTCCAAACCTGAACCAACTGCAACCAGAACCGAATGAAGAGCCACCCAATGGATCCCTATTCTGTGTGACTAGCATGGTACTGGGGACCCCAGAAAAGGGTGACTAAAGCCCCCGGGGGGTGCTGTGCCTCTCTGGGTTGAGAGAGGAACATCCCAACAGCCTTGGAGACAAAGTGGAGTGGCTCACAGCCTGGCCTACGGAGGGATGACTACAGAGCTGCCAAGATTTTGACATGTGGGCAACAGCTCTCCTGTGACCATGACCTCAAGGTTAATAACAAAGTCCTTCTTTGCTTCAGCTGTAGCAAAGAGATGGAAACAACCCCAGGGCTGTCAGCAAATGAGCAGTCATACACACAGTGGAATACTATGCAATAAAGAATATTAGAGAGTTCATCAGACACTGTGGAACGTGGATGCATTTGGAGGGTACTCTTTTAAATTAAATAAATGACTCAGAAAAAGAAAGACGGGGTATGGATCCACTATTATAAAAGTTTCCACACAGAGAGAAACAGTCTCTGATGGTTTACCAGGGTTGGAAAGAAGAGGAGAGGAAAAATCGGGAAGCAGATAATCCCACCCACTGCCATGGGGTCAATGCCAGCTCCTGGCGCCCCCAGCAGGTCTCCACGGCTGTAAACCTTTAAGGCCGGAGATGTTCAACTTTCTCCAAAGGAGCAACTAGTGGATTTGAACACAATTTTTGGTCAGCAGCCCACATCTAGCCACGAAGCCCAAAAGCCAGATCCACTAGAATTCTTTTTTAAGAATTATTTTAGCATTTAATAAAATTTTACTATAGTGAAGTTGTTTTAAATTTATTTTTATTTTATATTGGTTTACATACAAAATTTCTATACAATGTGTTTCATTCATAAATATTGTGTTTCACACATTCCTTCCTTCTCATTGTGTTTCATACAATCATTCCCCTACACTGTTTTATAAAGTTAATCCCTATTGGTCTATGTCCACTATTACCCTGTCTTTCCAAATTCCATCAGAGTTCTTTAAATAATCTTAAACACATATCAAGAGGTTGGTACAGGATAAGGCAGGGTTCATATTCTTTGTCCACAGCTTTATAGTCATAGATCTCTTTGATCTATGAGTTGTAGTTGAGACATAATAGCAATAACTACAAGAAAAAGGGTGGGATTACTTCTAGTGATTGTTCAAATATATTGACTTTTCTCCCTGTTGAAGACCTGCCCTTGAGACATCCTGCTTCTGACCCATGGTATAAAAACTCGTCACTCTTCACCTCCAAGCAAGTTTCTACAACAAGGCTTGGAGCATACATCTTAGTTTAATGCAAACATGGTCTGGACTGGAAGTCAACGAACTAAACCTGCTAATGATGGGAACTGTGGCTAACTTTGAGGACAATGGGAATCCCAGATCACTTGATTGTGCTTATGTGAAACCTATCCTTGGACCAGGAAGCGGCCCTTAGAACAAAGCGGAAACACTGCATGGTTCAAAATCAGGAAAGGAGTGCATCAGGGATGTGTCCTGTCACCATACCTTTTCAATCTACATGCAGAACAGATCATCTGGGAGGCTGGGCTTTATGAGGAGGAATGTGGCATCAAGATTGGAAGAAGACTAATCAACAACCTGCATTATGCAGATGATACAATGTTGCTTGCTGAAACTGAGGAGGATCTGAAGTGTTTGCTGCAGAAGGTCAAGTTCTGTAGTCTTCAATATGGATTGAAGCTCAATATCAAGAAAACAAAGCTTCTCACCACTGGGCCAACTGGCAGTACCATGATAGATGGAGAAGAGATTGAAGTTGGAGGCTAGGATTTTGAAGCTTCATCTCACATACTTTGGGCATTTGGCCAGGAGGGAACAGTCCTTGGAGAAGAATATCATGTGTGGACGGATGGAGGAATAGCGCAGGAGAGGAAGACCCCAGATGAGATGGATTGATACAGTAACTGGGGCAATGGGGATAGATATGTCAGAATCAGTGAGACTGGCTCTGGACAGGGCAGGCTTCAGAGCCACTGGAGATAGGGTTGTTATGCGTTGCAGGTGACCCACTGGCACATAACAACAACAACAGACAGGAAGACATCTCTCGCATATAACTGGTGAGTCACTGGGAAGAGAGAGAAGGTTTGAATGAAACACATCCAAGGTGTCCATCTATGGAATGACCTCCCTTCAGTGACGTCTTCTGGGAGGACAATCTTATTCTGAACACGATCTGTATATATTTTTTTCTTTTTAAAAATTCAGTCCTTGGATATTTTTTTCTGGTGAGAAACCTCAAATCTCCATCTTTATTATCTTGAAGGAACTCTGCTCTATGGGAAAAGACAGGTTCAGCAGCAGGTGTCTAAGGTCGAGGCGGTGAAATGGCCTTGGTGGGAGGTCCCAGCACACCTGTGATCCTGGATAAGGTAATTCACCTGGCTGAAACCCAAGTGCGGGGGAACACCATCTCTACACACCTGCAGCCTCTCGGGAATCTGTTGAGCATGCCAAACCAAGCCATCGCCTTCATGTTGATTCCAGATCACAGCAAACCTCAAGGGCAGAGCAGAATGTCCTATAGACTTTTCAAAAGCTCTGGTGGCCCAACAGTAAGGAGCTGCACTGCCAGCCCAAAGGCACATGGTTTGAATCCACCAGCTGGTCCTCAGGAGAAAAATGAGCAATCTTTTGTGCGATTACTGTTTCTGAAAACCTGTTGGAGGGTCAGCTATGGGTGGGTTCCTAGTCGATGGTGTCAGACAACATATTTTTACAGAAGCTGTCATGTTGCAGACCGAGGGTAAAGTATAAGTATTAATGAGACAGAACCCTAAGTATGTAGGAGAAAACAGAGGTGAAGCAGGAGGCAAATGATTCTCGAACAACTGAAACACTGGTCCTTCGCTTCCCTGTGCCTTTATTGAAAATTGCCAGGGAGCAAATCACCAAGAGAATTCAATGCAAATGAAGCTAAGCTCTTTCTGTTAAAAACCTTCTGCTGCTTGTTTCTCCTGAGGAGGGAGGGGTTAGCAAACATAATACACGAATCCTGTAAACCTTTAAGGATCGCCTTAGCGCTTCACGGTGAATTCCAGCTTGTATCAGCCTCCCTCACATCCTGAAATAGCATTTGGTTTATTACAAATATTTAGTATGAAATTTGGCTTCCCATACTGTCATTTTTTGTCCTTGGAGTGCTGGTGGGTTTGAAGGGGGCTCACCTTTTGGTTACCAGCCAAGCACTTTAACCACTGGGTCACTAGGGCCCCTGCAAAGTGAGCAAAATCTGATAATAGTGCGCATGTGGAAGGTGCCATCATTCAGAAGCAGAGGACCGGAAAGGACGGGGTTACTCCCTATCCGATTCCAGCAACAAAACAACACGGTAAGATCCACTGTTAAAATATTCTGAGCCACCCGGAAAGCATCTACATAAGGGCTTTTTTTTTGTTTTCCGAGATGACCATTTTGACACCCAGACTTCTGCACTTACAGGGATCCTCTTGAGGGCCTGGTCGTAAAGAGCTGTGCTGCCAACTCAAAGGCTCAGGGTAGGAATCCACCGGGAGAAATGTGGGCACTCTCCTTCTGTGCCAGGCGCTGTCTCTGCAGCCCACAGGACTCGGCTATGAGTGGTTCCAGCCCAACAGTGTGCAACTTGAAAAGCTATCTGTGAAGCGTAAGTCTCACTCCCAAACTTACTGGAAATACACAGTTTTGAGCCTCAGCCCAGGCCTACCTGGCTGGAATCCGCATTTTAACACGATATCCCTGGGTTAAATCCACAGTCAACACTCTTGGCACCGGTAGCCAGGAAATTAAAAGGCGCATTGCCATGGGAAAGTCTGCTGTTAGGGACCTCTCCAAAGTACTGAAGAGCAATGGTGTCTCTCTGGAGAGTAAGGTGCATCTGATACAGGCCATGATCTTTGCACTCACTTTTTATGCATCAGAGAGTTGGACAATTACCAAAGAGGATAGATGGAGAATTGTTGCCTT